CTTGAAAGAGACAACGAACCTAACAATAACAACAGTCTAATGGAATCAGACAGGGTGAGCAGTTTAAACAGAAGAGGGGAAAAAAAGGAATCAGTAATAGGAAAATAAAGCAATGATGGGAGTAAGTCAATACTTTTCAGTAATAACTCAATGTAAGTGGTCTCAGCTTCCCAGAAGACACAGACTGGCAGACTGGATCAAAAAACAAAACCCAATGATATGCTGTATACAAAAAACACATTTAACCCAAAAAGATTAGACTAAAAGTCAAAGGATGGAAAACAGTATTCCATGCAATAGGAGCCCAAAACAAGCAGAAATAGCTTTCCCATTTTCAGATAACATGGATTTCAAGCCAGAACTGATCAGAAGAGGCAATCATCAGCACATATTGGTTTGGGGAACAATTCAACAGGAAGAGAAAATAATGATAAATATATATGCAATAACATCAGTTCATCCATCTTCATAAAACAAACACTACTGGACATAAAAGATCAGATAAACACAAACACAATCATATTGGAGGACCTCGGTATGCCAGTGCCACAAACAGATCAACTAGACAAAGAAAATAAAAAGACAAAACAAAAACACAAAGACATATCAGTTAAACCAGGTGTGGTGGTACATGCCTGTAATCCCAGCACTTGGGAGGCTGAGGCAGGACAGCCACAGCAAGTTCAAGGACAGCCTGGGATACATTCTGAGCTCAAGGTCAGCCTTAATTATATAGTGAGATCCTGCCTCAAAAATAAAATAAAATAAGAAAAGAAATATCAGAGTTAAACTAAACCTTCAAACGCTTGATAGATCTCTACAGAGTATTCCACCCAACAACAGAATACACATTCTTTTCAGCAGCACATGGAACTTACTGCAAAATAGATCATGTACTAGCCCATAAAGCATACATAAGTAAACAGAAAATAATCAGAATTCTCCAAAGCATATCATTAGATCACAGTGCAATGAAACTAGAAATCAATGGCAAAAGAAACCACAGAAATTATGCAGACACATGGGGATTAAACAATACACTCTTGAATAATCAATGAGTCAGCTGGGTGTGATGGAACATGCCTGTAATCCCAGCACTTGGGAGGCTGAGGCAGGAGGATCACTGCAAGTTCAGGTCAGCCTGGACGACATGGTGAGTTCAAGGTCAACCTGTACTATACAGCAAGACCTTGTCTCAAAAAAACCAAAACAACAAAAAGAATAAATAATGAATCTTAAAAGAAAGCAAAGAAGAAATCAGACAGTCCCCAGAATCAAACAATAATGCCAGTACCACATACTAGAACCTATGATATAAAATGAAAGCAGCCCTACAAGGGAGATTTATAGCTGTAAATGCCCACATCAGAAAAAGAGAGAGCCCAAATAAATAATCTAATGATGAACTTTAAGGTCTTAGAAAAACAAGAATAAAAATCTGAAACAACTTTACAAAGAAGGAAATTATAAAGATCAGAGCAAAAATTAATGAAATTTAGACTAAAAACACAATACAAAAAATTAATGAATCAAAGCACTGCTTATTTGAAAGTAAAAGAAAAAAAAAAGAACAAGCAAACAAATTTTACCTTAGCCAATCTTACAAAAAGGACAGAAAAGATCCAGATCAATGCAATTATAAATGAAAAAGGCAAAACCCAGATTTTTAATCACTACTTCAAAAACCTGTACTCCAATAAATTGGAGAATTCAGAAGAAATGTATAGAGATTCCCAGATATGTATGAATACTGAAACTGAACCAAGAAGATATAAAAACCCTAAGTAATCCAATAACGGTCAATGAAATTGATGCAGTAATAAAAAATTTGCCAACTAAGAAAAGCCCATAAGCTGACTGGGTTCATCACTGACTTCTAGAAGAGCTTCAGGGAAGATCTAATGCCAACATTCCTCAAATTCTTTAATGAAATTGAAAGGAAAGGATTACTCCTAAAATCATTCCTGGATGCTAGCATTACCCTGATTCCAAAACCAGACAAAGACCCAAATAAAAAAGAAAACTAGAGGCCAATCTCTTTAATGAACAAAGATGCAAAAATTTTCAACAAGATACTGGCAAACAGAATGCAACAAATCCTAAAAAAGATTGCACATAATGACCAAGCCGGCTTCATCTCAGGGATGCAAGTATGGTTCAACATATGCAAATCTATACATGTAATATACCACATAAAACAGAAGCTAGGACAAAAACATATGATCATCTCAATAGATGTAAAAAAGCCTTTAACAAAATCTAACATCTATTCACAATAAAAGCCCTGAAGAAAATAGATAAGGACCTTATCCCAATCTGATGAAAGCTGTTTATGACAAACCAACTGCCAACACCATATTAAATGGGGAAAAGCTCAGATTTTTACCTCTAAAATCAGGAATAAGACACTTTTGTTCAATATAATAAACGAAGAATCAGCCAGAGCAATCTGGCAAGAGAAAGAAATAAAAGGGATACATATGGGAAAAGGCGGGGGCAAACTGCCATTATTTTCAGATAACATGATCCTTTACATAGAAGACCCAAGAAATCCCACCAGAAGACTCCTAGAGCAACCAAATTCAGCAGTGTATCAGGATAAAAAATAAAAACACAAAAATCAATAGAATTCCTATACATCAATAATGAAGTCACCAAGGAAGAAGCTCGGAAAACCACATTATTCACAATAGCAGAATAGAAAAACTAAATACTTAGGAATTAGCCTAACAAAGGAAGTGAGAGACCTCTACACTGACAACTACAGTAATGTGAAAAAAGAGATCAAGAGGACACCAAAAAATGTAAAGCCATACCCTGTTCCTGGATAGACAGAACCAATATTGCCAAAATGGTCATAGTATCAAAAATGACATATAGATTTAATTCAGTGCAATCAAATACCAACAGCATTTCTCACAGACCTGGAAAAAACAATCTTAAAATTCATATGGAATCAGAAGAGATGCAGAATACCAAAAGTAATCCTGAGCAACAAGAGCAAAGCAGGAGGCAACATAATCCTGGATTTCAAGTTATATTAGAAAGCCACAGTGATAAAAACAGTATGGTATAAAAACAGACATGTAGATCAGCGCAACAGAACAGAGGAAGCAGAAATAACCCTAGGTATCCTCAGCCATCTGATCTTTGGCAAAGGAGCCAAAAACATGCTGGGGAAAAGACAGTCTCTAACAAATGGTATTGGAAAAACTGGCTATTTACATGCAAAAACTGGAATCTAAACCTCTATCTCTCACCATGAACTACACTAAAATCAAAATGAATCAAAGACCTAAATGTTAAAACAGAAACAATCTGCTGGAAAACAAAATAGGTAAAACTCCTGAAGACACCAGCAGAGGTAAGGATGTTCTGATACAGCTGCAGTTACACGAGAAATAACATCAAGAATCAACAAATCACCAAAAGTGGTGATGTGTGTTTATAACTCCAGCACTTGGAAGGCTGAAGAATGCATTTAAGGCCGGCCTGAGCTACAGAGCAATACTCTGTCTCAAAAAACAAAAACAAAAACAAAAAAAAAGAAAGAAGAATTAACAAATGGAATTATATCAAATAAAAAGCTTCTGCAAATCAAAGGAAATAACCATCAGGAGGAAGAGACAACCTAAAGAATGGGAAAAGTTTTGCTAGCTGCTTCTTGAACAGAGGACTAATATTTAGAATATGTAAAGAAATAAAAAAAATTATACCCTCAATAAAAGATCCAATCAAGAAATGGACAACTGCAATGAATACACTGCTCAGAAAAGGAAGTACAAATGGCCAATAAATATGTACATGAAAAAATGTTCAATATATTTGGCCATCAGAGAAATGACAAATTAAAACAACACTAAGATTCCATCTTATTCCAGAAAGAATGGCTATCACTGAGAAATCAAATAATAACAAATGCTGGCAAGGCTGGAGGTGTGTGGGGGGAGATTCCTTCCTCATTGCTGTGGGAATATAAACTAGCACCACCACTATGAAAATCAGTATGTAGATACCTCAAAAAACTAAAAATAGAAGTTCCATGAGAGCTATTCCCCTTCTAGGTAACTCACTGAAAGAGTTAAGATACCATACTACAGTGATACGTATATATGCATGTTTTCTGCAGCACAGCTCATTATAGGTAAATCTTGGAAGCAGCCTATATGTCTATCAACAGATGAACGGATAAAAGAAGTATTTAAATACAATGGAGAAAAATAAATAAATACGACAGAGAACTATTCTGCTATAAAAAAGGATAAGCTTGAGTCATTTGAAAGAAAATGGATACATGGTCAGACATGATGTTAAGTGAAATAAATCAGGCATACAAACTTAAATATTGTATGGTTTCTCTTATACAAGAAACTCGAACTATAAATAATTTCAAAAGCATAATAAAAGACAGATAATAGGAAACAGGGAGATAGAGTTTTTGCAAATGGGAAGGGTACCAAGAGATGGAGCAAGGGTGAGCGGGTGTTAAAAGAATTACGATGTGTTAGGTACATGTACCAACTCCCCACAATGAGTGTAATCATTATGTACTGCAAATAAGTACTAATAAAAATAAAACAATACATTTAATTAAAAAATATTAGTGCAGCTGGTTGCAGAGGTTCATGTTCTCAGCACTGGGGAGGCTAAGGCGGAAGGATTGCAAGTTTGGATGGGGGATACAGCTCAACAGCACAAGCACCTGCCTGGCAAGTGCAAGGTCCTGAGTTTAATCCCTGGTACCAAAAAAAATTTGAGGCCAGCCTGGGCTATACAGTAAGATCCTGTTTTAAAAAAAACAAAAAAAACAAAAAAAGGAAGACTAATTTACATTTTTCTCTAGCTGAACTGACAGTTTAAAAATATGTATCTGATGCAGGAGACTTTTGTTTCACAAAAGAGCATTAGCATTAAAGCTCATATGATTAAAGTGGTTTTGTGGAGGCTCTGGCTTAACCAATGATGCACAGATCTAGAGCTTCCCATTCACATGCCATTACCTTTTTCTTCTATTTAGGAGGTCATAAAGCTGTCCACAGTAGATTTCATAGAAGCTGATCCACACAAAGAGGTGCCTTCTTGGCTGGGACACTTCCAGTTGTCTGAAGATATCTTTGGCAGCCAAAGCATACAATCCTGGGTTCTGATGGGTTCCTATCATAGTGTAGGTTTTGCCAGCACCTGTCTGTCCATATGCAAAGCAAGTGGCATTACCTCTGTGGAAAGAATAATTTGAATCATGCATATTAAGAGAAGTACTAATTTACATATAGATTTTTAGTGATGAAAGTCAGGTGGAAACAGAATCCTTGACAAAAATTCAGCTATAAATGTAATTCCTTAGGTGAGGAGGGCTTTACATTATTAAAACATAGGAAAAGGTAAAATTATTCTCAAATCAGTATTTTCCTATTGGAATTTTTCATAGAACTGGTAAGGCAACATAAAACAACTCTGGGGGGCTGGGGATTTAGCTCGGCGGCACAGTGCCTGCCTTGCAAGCGCGACTTTGTGAGTTCAATTCCCAGTATTGGAAAAAACAAAAACAAAAACAACAAAAAACAACTCTGGAAGGTAAGAAAACAGAGACTTTTACTGAGTTCCTACCTCCTGCTAGGTGCTTTACAGGATCCTAGAGAAGATTTCATCTTAATCTGGAGGGATAACTTTGGTGAAAGTCATAAAGAATTAGAATAAATGTATTAACTAGTAGCAGATCATATGATCTAAATAGGATGGTAGTAATTATTCATATGAAAATTAAGCAACTTTATGGGGGCGTGGTAACTTTAGACACAGGTAAAGTCAATGTGAACAAAGTATCTGAGGAAGCCAAGAACAGAGAACTGGACTTGAAGACAGAAGCTGAGAAGGCAGAGCCCTACCATGCAGCAGTGACAGTGAGAGCGAAGGCCATCAGGAGAACAGATTTGGTGCGGCAAGCAGGCTAAATCTGGAGGGAAAACCTGCATTTTGGTCTCTGTCCAGCTATTAACTGATTACACTGCCTTAGGCAAGTCACTACATATGTCTCTGGGCCTGGATTTTCACTTTCATTGTAGGTTAAAGGCTTACTTGGTTTCTTTTTGCTTTGATTTTTGAGACAGGGTCTCACTATGTAGCCCAGGCTGTACTCGAACTTGCACTGATTCTGCCTCAGCCTCCCAAGTGCTGGGAGATTATAGGCGTGTGCCATCATGCCTGGCAGGCTGCTTGGTTTCTAAGAGCCCTTCCAATCCTGGGTTTCTATGATTCTAAGTGAAAATCACTATTCTTGTACCCTGTGCAAGTGTGAAGAACTGCAGAATAAGAGGTGGAGAAGGGAGCTGAGAGACCCAACTATCAGTCACAGTATGATTCGGGAGGAGATGGAGATTACCTGAGTATTGTGAGACTCGATTATGCAGTGCTAAGTTCAGAATGAACACAGGTGGCTCAGCAGCCAGTGTAGACTCTTGAACATGCACAAGGGTTAGTGACAAAAGTAGCTGCTTGTGAAAAGAAAGAAAAAAAGAAAACCCAATGTGTGTAAGCAGTTAGGGGAGGCTGGAGATGGGCAGAGAGGTAAGTAAACAGAAAAGGAATGAAAGCCAGATATCATTTCAATGGTGAGATTTTTTTTAAAGCAATAAATATGGCCATAAAAATCTTACTACACCTTATAGAATGAATGCACTATGCCTTTCTTTGTTATTACCAAAGTCTTAATATTGGAATTTTAACTTCCTTCCTTTCTTCCTTCTTCCCTTCCCCTCTTTCTTTCTCTCTCTCTCTCTCTCTTTCTTTTTCTTTCTCTTTCTTTCTCTCTTTCTTTCCTTCCTTCCTTCCTTCCTTCCTTCCTTCCTTTCTTCTCTCTCTCTCCCTCTCCCTCTCTCCCTCCCTCTCCCTCTCTCTTTTTGAGACAGGGTCTCACCACGCAGTTTAGGCTGGCCTTCACTTTGTAGCCCAGGCAGGCCTTGAACTTGTAATGATCCTCCTGCCCCAGCCTCCCGAGTGCTGGGATTACAGGTGTGTGCCATCAGGCCCGGCTTTAACTTATTTCAGAAACTTGCTCTCTCAAAAAACATTTCCTAGCTTTTGTGCATAAGAAATTGGACTTGATTTGTACTGGGGTCACTCTCGCATACTGACCGCCCTCACTCTTGAGGGTGCACTTCTTTTCCTTGGTCCAAACTTGCTCTGCAAAGCCTATTTCTTTTTGTACCTTTAATAAAACTTTGCTACCATTGAAAAAAAGAAATTGTACCTAAAAAATATATTGCATTATTAGCCTGCTCATGAAATTTTTTTAAAAAGAAATAACTTCCACAAAACAACAATAAAAAGACAACACAAGCTGGTCATGGTGGTGTGTACTATAATGCTAGCATTTGGGAGGCTAAGGCAGGAGGACTGCAATATCAAGGCCAGCCTGGGCTACACAGTGAGTTCAAGGCCACCCTGCATAGCAGACCCTGTCTTAGAAAGAAAATATTTTTAATTAAAAAAATAAAAAGGAAAATCGAGGCCAGGACCACAGTGCATATGACCGTAATCCCAGTACTTGGGAGGCTGAGGCAGGAGGATTGTGAGTTTGTGGTCAGCCCAGGCTACATAGCAAGACTCTGTCTCAAAAATAAATAAACTGAAGGTATTAAAATGGCAAAGGCCCTCATTAAAGAAATTATATTAAAACAATTTCACTGGCTAAAATAGAAAAAGACTGCTGGTAAGGCTGAGAAAATACATGCTTTGTAAGCTGGTGATGGGAGCATAAAGCAGTCCCACACTCTAGTCACTGGACATTTTCTTATAAACACCAACCTGTCCTATGTCACAGCAATCCCCGGGCTAGGTTTTCAACGTGAGGTTAATGAAAACATGCCCATAAAAAGACTAGCATAGGAGTGTTCATACAGCTTTGTTCATAATAGTCCCAAACTAGAAATAATCCAAATATCTGGCAATAAGATTACTGATATACACATTGTGATATATACTTATAGAAGAGAATACTGAGCAAACAAAAACAAAACCCTACAGATACATGCAACAGTGTACACTAATAGGGGCTAGGGATTTACCTCAGTGGCACAGTGCCTGCCTGGTTAAGTGCAAGGTCGTGAGTTCGATTCCTGGTACCGGAAAAAAACCCCAAAAACCAAACAACAAAAACAATGTACACTAATATACAAAATTATGTTAAACCAACAGAAGCCAGTCATACAAGGATATATAATGCAATGATTGTATTCCTATGTAGAAATAATAGGTTGTCACAGAATATAAGTCACTGGTTACACAAGACCTAGAGATGGAGGTGAGGGATTAACTAAAAGGAACACAAGAGAGCTTTATGGGTGATAAAAATGTTCTTATGTCTTGCTCAGGTATTAATTACTTGTATATATTCATCAAACCTGAATATTATATGTGCATCTTATTGTATGTAAATCCCACCTCTATTTTTTTAAGAAATAATTTTTTTAAAAAAGTCAGGGTTAGGGATGTAGTTCAGTGGTAGAGTGCTTGCCTAGCATGGGTAAGGACCAGCAACACAAAAATAAACAAAAAGTCAAGCTTCTCTGGAATCTGTGATTCTAGCACACGCCTACATTTTAAATATACAAGAGAATCCTACTCTCTTCTATGTCCCATTTAATATTTATTAAGTGTGAATAATAATTTTAAATAAAAAATACCTGCATGAAAAGTTGATAAGTGACATTATCTATCGCAGTCTAAGGAAAAAAACTGTAGTCAGAATGCATAATTCCTATTATCAAACCATGAAAATCTTTTGTTTCTGAAGACTTTGAAAAAATTAAATTGTTGACAGCTACATTATCCCCCTAAACAGGGAAACAATATCAGTGTAAAAGGAAACTTTGCCACAAATTCCTCAATGCTTGGCAAACCCTATAAACTGAGATACTGTACTTTTCCAGAAGAATCTAATTTAAATTCAGCAAATAAAAATACAAATTCACATTTCATTCAAAAGAGCTAAAAAGCATAAGTGATATTTATAAAGGAATGATTTATGGAAACTAGAAAACAAAAAGCAAGAAAAGCAAATCATTGTTCTCACCCATTGAAAATATGCTGAATGAGGGGGTGAGTAGTCTTCAAATAGACATCTCGATTGGTGCACGCCTCACCAAAGACTTCATCAAAATAAAAAACATGCTGAAAAATAAATTCAATTTTTATAGAAAGAGATGCCTTCTAATTTTCTTTACCACTATTCTAGGTAGCACATAATAAAGGTCTAAATACATTTAAAAATAATAGTAAGTGAGCTTGATAAACTCAGATAATTAGGAACTGTTAAGTGACAGGGGCTTCTTTTACTTGAGATCTCTATAGCCATGTGCTTACAATGTAGAAACTAAGGCATACAATTTTTGTTCTTTCTTAAGAGAAGTAATTTGATGAGTAGAAGAATGAGCTATTCTTTATGTCTGGGAACACTCAGTTCTATAGGATATACAACTATCAAACTCACCAACCTGAATACTATATGTGCATCTTATTATACATAAATTATATCTCTCTATATATCATACTTCCCCTATATCTATATGTTTTTTTTGAGACAGGGGCTAGTTATATAGTTTAGACTAGCCTTGAACTCACAGTAATCCTCCTTCTTCAGCCTCCCAAGTGCTAGAATTATAGGTGTGTACCACCATGCCTGGTGGTACCTCTATTTGTACAACATTATTTTTTAAAAAAGGAAAGTGGATGTGAGTCAGTGGTAGAGTGGCAAGCTAAGGTCAGTATATTTGAAAGCCTAGAGGAATTTTAGAGGAAAATTTCCATTCTATAGGTTACATGACTTAGCTTTTAGCTCCATAAATATTTAATGTTCAGATAGTATATGGCATAGGCACTTGAAAGACCCAAAAGGTGTAGAACTTACCTTACTCCGGCCCCTAAAGATATATACAAATTACTATAAAGTAGAAGAACCTTAAGAGGAAGTATGCATGGGACTTGATGGAAAGAACACATTCTGTCTAATTGGGAAAGACATTATAAAAAACTGTACTGAGAATGGATCATGGGGAAAGAAGAGGAATTTGAGAGCAGTGATAAAGGGAAGGAAAGTATTCAAGGCACAGGGAAAGTATGAACAAAGAGCCAGAAGGCACAAGGAACTGTATGTTTAATTAATATGTAAGGATGGGCCAAGATTCACTGTAGCTAAAATATAGGAAAAGTGAGACAGAAGCCTAGAATAACGAGTTAGGCCTATGTTGTAGAGGTCTTAGGGTCCTAGCCTCAAGTAGGTGACAAGATGTAGTTTATATTTAATTCAGTAAACAGGGGGAGACAGTGAAAAATACTTTGCAAAAGGGCCATGTTACTGGAAGATTAATCTGGCTTCATGATGTGAACAGACTGGAACACAGACTAGTGGTGAGATAAGAAGGATCTAAAGCAGCTGGCATGGTGGCACATGGTGTAATCCCAGGTAATGGGGGAGGGCGAGGCACAGGAGAATTGCAAATTCAAGACCAGTATGGGCAACTTAGCCAGACCCTGTCTCAAAAACAAAACAAAACAAAACAAAATAAAACAAAACAAAACAAAACCAAACAAAACAAAACAAAACCCCTGGGGATGCAGCTCAGTGCAAAAGCCCTAGATTCAATTTCAATTCCCAGTATAATAAAATTTTTTTAAAAAATGAATAAATAAATAAATAAAATGGGCTGTAGCTGTCAATTAAAAAACAATTAATTAATTAATAAAATGGATATAGCTCACTGGGGATGACAAAGGAAATGAGGAGATTACAAATTTGGCAACTGACTGGATGTAGGGAGAATTTTTTTTTTTGGAGATACGGCCTGGCTACGTAGTTCAGGCTGGCCTTGAACTCACCCTGTAGCCCAGGCTGACCTCACACACACAGGAATGATCCTGCCTCTACTGCCTGAGCCCTGGGATTATAGGTGTGTACTACCATGCCCAGTGCAAAGGGCTCTCAAAAGACTTTTTAAAAAATTGTAATGGGGAAAAGGAGAAATAGGAGATTCCATTACATTGGGTCTGGAGAACATTAATTCAGCAGCTGTAATTACAATATTTGTACAATTTAGAGGTTTTATAGCTGGCAACTAACCATCTCTAAGTAAGAAATTCTAATAATTTCAGGCCTGACTGTAGCATGATGATATGAATGATACACAAGTGAGAGATAAGGCCCTGCTTTCTGCCACCTTTTGGGCTTGCTCTAAACATCCAGTTAAAAAATTGCATGGACAGATCCAGACAACTGGAATTGGGTCAATTTAAGGAAGGTTACTCTGTTCCAGATTCAACTCTCTTTTATTTAGGATTATATTACATTACATTAGAATGGACATTTGTTAGGTCCTCTGGGAAAAAGGGAGACCACAAAGCCAAGTTTATCTTTTTTTTTTGTCTTTTTGAGACAGGGTCTTGCTATGCAGTTCAGGCTGGCCTTAAGCTCACTTTGTAGCTCAGGATGGTCTCAAACTTGCAACGACCCTCCTGCCTCAGCCTCTCGAGTGCTGGGATTACAGGTGTGTGCCACCACACTGGGCTCAAATTTATCACTTAGACAAAGTTTCCAAGAATTATTGGACCGAGCATGGTGGTGTACACATGTAATCCCAGCACTCAGGAGGCTGAGGCAGGAAGATTGCTGCAAGTTTAAGGCGAGTGTGGGCTACAAAATGAGTTCAAGGTCCACCTGAACTGCATAGCAAAGCCCTGCCTCAAAAAGATAAAACAAAACCAAACAAAAAAAAAAACCTTAATGGATAAGAGGATATAGTACACTACACGTATGTGATCGTATTTACTAAGTAACAAGATTTGAAAAGACAGGATATTTAATTAGACACATACCTACTGTTTTAATCCTGAGTAAATTTAAAAATAAGACTCAAAGAATTGACAATCAATAGTTATTTAGCACCAAGTTTGCTATGAACCTCCCTTTTCTTCCTTTGCTTTTGAGAAAGGAAAAGAGAAAAAGTCCTTCCAATACTTCTAAGTTATAGCATTGACAGTTAAGGACTTTGGCCTATGAGAGCAAGGTCTAAAGTTCAAACAGCAGAGGAAATGCCATGGAAACTATGGGTATTCAATAAATATTGATCAATGGTAATGACAAAGAAGTAAGCTGATTGTGTTTGGGGATAATGGAAAAATACAAAAGCTACGATGATGCTTCCTTGAGGGAATTACTGTGATTGAAGTATCATTAATGACGACTTGGGTAGACAGTGATTGGATGGGATATTACTGTGGCTATACTAGCCATGGAACTAGATAGCATTACAACTAATTGGTCACTTACACCATCTTGAAAATAAATACCTCCCACTGAGACCTAATAGACTGTGGACTGATCAGCAATCAATAAGGCTGTTAAAGTGCTTAGGTTGGCTGAACAGCGGCCTAGTAATTTACTGCCCACAGAAAGACTTGGTGGATTACTCTAGTGTCACTGGAAACCCAATTTTGGTCCTCAAAGAAGGACAATGCACATGTGAGAGAGACATTTTAACAACTTCATTTCACTGTTAAAGGGTTTATTCTTGGAGGGTAAGATAACAGTGAAGGTGAGTGGCTAGCACCCCAGATTACTCACCACTGCGTTGCTCTCTACCCGTTTTCAGGTGGTGAGGCAAGAAAATGAGAGAAAGAAGGAGAAATACAATATGAATGTTTAAGGAGCAGATTCAGAGCAATGCAAACTGAATTCCAAAGTCTTTACAGCTGGTGGATAACCTGTTCTGTTTTCGATTCATCACAACTTTAGGAATGCCTAGTTACACAAACTTACAAGTGTCAAAACATGATCTTTCCCATCTGTAGCCTTTACTGCTTCCCTATGACAATGAAGAGTTATTGCAAGGGGACCTAGTAGCTTAGAATAAGTTCAATACCAAACCTTCTTCATAACGATTTTCAGTCAACAATAAGCATTTTTATGTGCCTGAGCTAATAATGTTTTATTTAGACCCTTATATGTCAGATATGAAAACATGCACTCTACCCTGTACAAAGTGGCCTCAGCTGAGCCCCATTTTGACCATTTGAATCTAAACTCAAGGCAGCTCAATATCAAAATAAGCTGCTCCCCGGAGCCTTGTTGCTCAACAAGATATTGTCCATCATTAAACTCAAGACCCACACTCATCAGAATGATGACATCACATTGTGAGACAGGCAAGAATGGAATCCAACCACAGTCATTCTGAGGCAAGTTTAGTGATGTGTCCTGTCGACAATCACTTATTTAAATTATTTTATATCTGGCATGGTGGTACATACTGTATCCCAGCACTCAGGAGGCTGAGGCAGGAGGATCACTGCTAGTTCAAGGCCAGCTGAGGCTGTATAGTGAGTTCAAGGCTAGCCTGAACAATATAATGAGACCCTGTCTCAAGACAAAAACCTGTTTTAAGTGAATGTATGATGTAGTTCCATCACAGAAGATACAGGAATTACATTTTTGTACAACCTACTGCACCATACTTTTAAAAAATGAAGGCCCAAACTATCAATGATTTCATGCAATGTTATGTCAGGTATGACTATCAATACTCAAATTAGAAACTGGATTTCAGAAATTGTATGAAACCATTTAAACAAAAAGCATTAAATTAACATACTTGCTAATATTGATCCCAAACACAAAAGGAAAACATCATACCTGCAGAACATATTGTGTGAGGTCTACTGCTTCTTTTTTCTCATGCACAAGTAGAGTTTCTTCGTCTTCTACAGTAATAATATTAATTTCTCCACGACGTACCTCCCTCAGTCCCAGAGGTCGTTTTCGAACACAGACTCTGATTTTCTCCATCTCAGTCCAAGGATTCTCTTTATCTGAGGTGTTCTGTCTGACATTTGTTTATAAATAGGCTTTAATTTTTAGTAATAGGGTAAGGCTACATAAGAGGTTAAAGTACATCTTGCTGTATACTGGGCATAATGAATGTTTAATAACATACTAAAGTATCACTGGGACAGTTCTTTTGTTAGACGTTCTCCTGATTACTTCCATCGCCATCTCTATCCCTACCCTACCTCACCCCTTGCCTTGCAAAAAAAATGGAAACAAAAACAAACCCCCAAACAAACAGAACCATCACACTTATTTCAGGTCTAAGATTTTTGTCCTTAGCTTCCAGATATGGTCTTCTTATAGTATAAACTCTTTCATGTTCCCAAAACTCAGGCTGGTTAATAATCAAAATCTAACACAATATACTGCTCCCCATCCCTCCAGGGCCTTTACAAAACCCAAACCTATGTCTCTTACTCATGTTCAAGCCAATTATTCTTGCATGTTCACCATTTTCTTGATTCATCTAAATTAATCAGGAATCTAAATTATGAATTAATCTAAATTATTCTTAATTCTACTAGGGTTTACTAAATACCTTGAATTAGGTGCTGAGTTTCAATGTACTTTTCCTGCTGCTTCCTGTAGATATATCCTGCCCCTTCCTGTGCCTTATCTTCTTATTTCCTTTTTGTCCCTTTTGTACATATTAATGTGTTTGTTAGAACACAGTCATGGATTTCTCCTCACCAGCACAATGTTATGACCAGCCTTGTCTGCTGAGAATTTAAACTTCTACTCAGGTGCATTCTCTCACTGCCTTCATTCAGCTACTCCACGTTAACACCCAATATTTGAGGCAACATTCTTCGGGTTAGGTACATAAAATTTATCAGGTTTATCTGCTGAATATTATAGTGGTCAATATATCCAAGAGCTGATCATTTATATAGAAACTTCTCTAAAGCGAGGTAACAAGACAATAAAGTTCTTAAAAGGAGATGTTTTTACCTGGATCAATGCCTCTGGTCCATTTTCTTTTTTTGTTTTGTTTTTCTTCCAGTACTGGGAATCAAACTCATGACCTTGCGCTTGCCAGGCAGGCGCTGTGCCGCTGAGCTAAACCCCCAGCCCCACCTCTGGTCCATTTTCTAAGAATGCTTTAGAAAGAAATTATTCTCTCCTTTATAGTACTTTAAAATTTGATGCCCCTAAAAAGACTTTCATAATAGATTTTATACAAGGTGCTATATACTACATAATTGCTTTGCATTAATTCTGATTTTCTTGGCCTTCCAACTGGCTAGAAAAAAATTATTTTTTGTCAGGATCTAAATTAGTTTTTTTTAAAAGCAAATAAATTTCTACTATAATGTATGAGGCACTTTGAAGGTATTTTTAAAAACCAATATATAGGAGACTTCTAAAAATTTCTCATTTGGTTTTGTTTGGTCTTCTTGAGACAGGGTCTTGCTGTGCAGTTTAGGCTGGCCTGGAGTTCACTTTGTAGCCCAAGCTCACAACAACCCTCCTGCCTCAGCCTCCCGAGTGCTGGGATTACAGGCGTGTACCACCATGCCTGGCCTTAAAGTTATCATTTGGAAGCTTAATATGGTTGCACATGCTTGTGATCCCAGTAATCTGGAAGCTGAGGCAGGAGGATCACCTCGACTTCCAGGCCAGCTTGGGCTACACAGTGTGTTCCAGGCTAGATACATAGTGAGAGCTTGTCTCAAAAAAAAGAAAAAGAAAAGCTCAAAAAAGGCATTGTTTGGGGCTGGGATACAACTCAGCGGTGGAAGGCTGCCTAACATGCATGAAGCCCTAGGTTTAATTCCCAGCCCCGGAGGGGACAGCAAGCAAGCATCATTTTGAAGTTAAGTGGGAAAATTTTGACAATTCAATTATTAAAATTGGATGAGGGCCTCTAGGGACTCTTCTTTTGCATATGTTTGATTTTCACACACAAAAAAGAAAATTTTAGCTAGGCACAATGATGCATGCCTGTAATCCTAGCTACTCAACAGGCTAAGGCAGGAAGATTTCAAGTTAAATGATAGCCTGGGCAATTCGTGAGACCTGTATAGCATGCATAAGGCCCTGGGTTCAATCCCCAGTAACACCAGAGGGAAAAAATGATAATAAATCTATTTGAGACAGTGTCTTACTAAGTTTTCCAGGCTGGGCTTGTATGTGTGACTCTCAGCCTCCCAAGTAACTGGAATTATTATGGGTGTGCACTAAGCTGAAAATAGAAATTTTATGTATCATTTTAACAACGGTTTTGTGTCAAAATCTCTAGCTGTTGTTGAGTATTAATAATTTAATCAGAGGACAGAAAATGTTTAGTCTTTTTTAAAATTGGCAAGGACTCTAGGGGTTTGTGTTTTTTAAGTACAAAGGGCCAAAAGGAATGCATAATCTAAAAGGAACTGGTTTAAATGCCCAATCTTCCACAGAATAAATAAACAACAACACGCAAAGAATTAGGACAACTGGAGTTAGATCTATTTAAGATGTTAATTAAGTCAGGGCAACCAGTTTTCTAAATGTAATAGACTTTAGGTAAAATTCTAAGGCAAGTAATTAACTAAAAACTTTGGAAATATCTGAAAAGCAAAAACCTGATGTGAGGTATCCAAGAAGAAAGCTCTTTGGGGTCGGGCATGGAGGTGCATGCCTGTATCTCAGCACTTGGGAGGCTGAGGTAGGAGGATCACTGTAAGTTCAGGGTCAGCCTGGGCTACATACTGAGACCCTGTCTCAAAACAAACAAACAAAAAACAAAAAAGCTCTTTGGATAGAAGGACTCCTAATGCCAAGTCTTAAACTGGAAAGATGTTTTTTAATGTTTGAAAATCCTTACTATATTTGGGGCCTGGGGAATATTGAGGGAAATGTCCTTCTTTACCTTCAGTGCTCTAACATGAAATGAGAAGAGTGAGCTAATGTGAGAAAGCTCAGCTGAACACCCTTCACTCGGCTTGTATAAGCTCAGCTGAACACACTTCACTCTGTGTAAGTATAATTGTCTGTAAGAGCAGCTACTACAGTTTACGGTAGTTTAAATCTGTCATCCCACTCACCCTACCCTCTAAGAGTCTAAGAGCTTCCAAATATCCTAATTATCTTTATACTAGAGTCAGACCTAACAGAGGCAATACTTAACATGTATCAAATAAATGTAAAGGCAATATTTAAGCTAAATACGCATTCTATCACTAATATGTTAAATAGCACAAAGCGGTATTTTTATTTGTAAATCCAATTTAGATTTTTATGTGTTGCTCAGTAAAAGACTATCATATTCAAACAAATTTGCTCTTTTACCACTGAGCTAACCAACAGGACAGCAATTATCCTGGCTTCACAGTCATGGAAAAATCTAGTTCTCTTACAATTAAAACAGAACAGTACTATATTAAATTCTCTGTGTTCTGTTAGATCAAAAAAAAAAAAAAAAAAAAAGTTGCCAGAAACATTATAAAGTCCACTGATGTACTTTAAATTATTACAGATATTTTTATCTTTAAAACTGAGTCTTTTATTTTTTGGAGTAAAAGAATTAGTTTTGAGGTTATCTGGAACCTTAGCCAATATAAAACCAGATATAAATACTTTGTCTTAAGGAATGTATAACAGCATTTTTAAAAAGATAGATTAAAAATGAATTTTGTTTTCTAATAACTCATATATATTACTTTAAAAATAAAAACCAAGGAATTAAAAAAAGGAATACAAATTTTTTGTTTTTATTTTTAATGTAGCAGTATTATTTAAGGTAGGAAAAGAAACAGACTCTATAGAGTGAGTCTGGGCCAAGTAAAAGAAGCACACCCCACAGCGTGAGGGTGGGTCACCATGCAAGAGGGAACACAGTGACCTATAATTTTTTAAAATAATGTATTTTCTATTTTATCATTGTTAGTATTAGGGATCAGTCAATATTTCATCTTTTAGGGAACTTACTTCAAGTTCTAACTTTAAGCACTAAGTGAAAATAACATTGTTATTCTGAATCTCAAACTCTATTTGCCCCCCAAAATGTCTTATTCTCTATAATACACCAAAATCTGTTTTTCCAGGGCTAGAACTGTAAAATAATAAGCACTCTGAATTAAGACCCTATTTCAATGTGTGCAGATGAACTAAGTGCTCCAAAGACCTATCTAACTACATGCTCTCTGCTTTTAACTAAGCTGTAAGTCTTTTCCTGGTTGGTTTAAGTGAATTTGATGTCCTTTTAAAAATTCTGTGAATTGTGTAATTTTATTTCCTTTGTAGGAGGCCAGTTAATTATTGTACTTTCATGTATGCACTAGATATATCATGTTACACTATAATAAACAATAGAAATAAATAACAGAAATAAGTCTTTGTAGAAATAACAGCAGATCTTTGCAAGTAGCAGCTGTTTGATGCACATAAATGGTATCTTTCTCCCATCTGCACAGTTCTAATGCCTTGTTAATTTTCTCCACCCAGGGACAGTATTTCTATTACTGATAAAAAGCTGATCATTGCCATTTCTGTTATATTTATTTACTACAAAGAAAGAATGGTTGCTCTCATCTAGTCATGGAGGACAGGCCTGCCTTGCCTAAGGCAACCTTCTCTCAAAAACAAAAAAGGTAAAAATAAAAATCATTACCTGATACAAGGTTGAGGGACTCCATAGTTATACCCTGAACCATGAGAGACTCTCTGAATAATGGGAATATCACAATTTCCAAGTATCGGAGAAAAGAGATGTGATGAAAACAGTGAAGCTTTAGTTTCTGTTTGCACACAGGACTCAGCAGCTGTGGCGCTCGGAGCTCGTGCTTTTGTACGGTACTGGGAATCTTCCGGGAGCATGTGTTCCAGCACTTTCAGCTTAGTGGACTTCTGTTCATTTGCAGAGAAATCTGTCATATTATGCATTTCAAACCCATTTCTGCTAGCAGTTCTGTCTTTGTTGTCAACAGGAGAATCAAACTGTAGTTGTCTGCGAGGGCCAGATCTGAATTCCTGAGTCTTAATGTACTGGCTGCTTGTCTGAAAAGGGTGGTCTGGGCTGACTGTCTTCTCTTCTTCTTGCATAATCTTAATGATTCTGATCAGCTGGAAGAGACGTTTGCGGTCATTCATGTCACGGACTCCCAATTTGGAGTAGTCTTTCATCGTAACCTTGGCTAATTCATCTATTTTCTGAAGGCCAAGGGCAGTAAAATGAGGATAATACTGTGCAAGTTCAGCTTCACAAAGACATTCATACAACCAGGATGCCATTTTTATGAATCGGTTTTTATAAATTCTGAAGAGAGGGGAGAAACCATTCATTTAAAATAGAGTATACATAATAAAATTTTCCTTTAAAAAATTAAGAGAGGAGCCAGGCATGGTGACACACACATATAATCCTAGCACTTCGGAGGTTGAGGCAGGAGAATTTCAAGTTTGAGGCTGCCTTGGCTACCTAGAGAATTCAAGGCCAGCCTAGAATACCTAGTGAACCTCTGTTTCAACCCTACCTTGCAAAAGGCATTAAAAACAAAGAAATACATTTTATCATCTCAAGTTTTCAATAACTGACTAAACCGCATAAAACAAAATGCTTTGTATAGCTTATGATGAATTTATAATAACAGGTATAATTTGCTCATCTGATTAAGAAAGACATTTTCAACTATACAAAGTGGGCCAAAAAAATGTATACATACTTCAACAGTTTGCCATACTAATAAATGTCTGCAAGTTCATGGCCACCACTTTCAGCACCTCTTGTAATTGTAGAGGCCAAAAGTAACTTGTATTAATCTCATGATGTTTTCATAAATTCAGTAGTAAAATATTTATACAAATTTTTCTCTTTCTGATGTACATGTTTTTTGGCAGACTCTATTTAAATAGTTACACAGACACACACACAACACAAGTCACTTACTCATTTCTTGGGAATTTCTGCTAACCTTGCAATGTCTACTTAACACATGCCACAAGCTACTGAAATCTTGTTCTCAACCACTGATTGTAGCAGAACTAATTATAGATGTTCAACTTAATGTCAAGGCATGTCGCACAACTGTTTCCAATGATTAATGAACAAAGGCTATGAACTCTTTCAAAATAGAAAGTGGAATTCAATGGCAGACTACAGAGGATTATAAATTAATACAACTCACAGGAAGTCACAGTTGCATTTGCTGAGTACTGGCAAAAGTTACTTAAACAAAACTAAAAACATCATCAATTCAGAATTAACTAATTCAGTATTTTAGAGCATTCTAAAAGGTGGTCATCTATATTTACCTGTATAGAATATGAATCAGGTTATTTACCTAGGAAATTGATACTACTCAAAATTTTAAATGATTATATATTAACATGCTTAAAAATTTTTTTGTTTTTGTTTTTTTGGTACTGGAATCGAACTCAGGACCTTGTGCTTGCCAGGCAGGCACTGTGTGGCTGAGCTATATCCCCGGCCCTAATATGCTTAAGAATTTAACACCAGATATTTAATTAAATACTAGCAAATGATATGGTAATAACATATTCCTGGTCAAATATTAAAGTCAGGACTCTTGAGGTCTCCATAGGAGTTAATCAAGTTCAAGTTCATGTGTCTACTAAAAAGTAACCTTAAATTACATTTTCTTTTCCTTCTTCCCTCTGTCCCTCCCCTCCCCTCCCCTCTGCTCTCCCTTTGATACTGGAGACTAAACCCAGGGCCTTTACATCAGCTGCCTCTCTACTCATTTTTTATTGTTTTATTTTGAAATAGGGTCTTGTTAACTTACCCAGGCGGGACTAGAATTTAGGATGCTACTGCCTTAGCCACCCAGAGTGCTGGAATTAGAAGACTGTGCCACCATGTCTGGCTATATCCTCTTTTTAAAAATGGTTTGGCAATTCAGAGTTTTCAAAATTCAGTTAATTACAGGTAAAATGTTTGTTTTCTTTTTAATTTATATTTTGTCTCCTAAGGGAAACAGGAAAAAGTTGAGGGCATAGTAATAAAGACAAAGAACCTACAATGGTTAACGTTGGAGGAAATATTACGTAGGCTATAGAAAAGGCCAAAAGGGCTGAGTAACACATCACAAAGCACCCAGCCCTCTTCTGTTTGTAGTGGATTAAAGAACAAAAACAAACCAACAAAACCATAAAACCAAAACCAAAATTCTCTGCAGCCCTTTCACCCAGAGGTGGAGATTGCCTCTAGAATGACCTTATAATTTGTTTTGGCTAACAGAATACAATGGAAGCAACATTGTGACTTCCATGCCCAGGTCTCCAGAGTTCTTGCACTTTCTACTTCTGCAGAAGCCCAGTCAACAGCCCTCATTGCAGCGGACCTCCACGAGAAGCCATCTTGGACCATGTAGCCTAGTGGTGTCACAAGATGACTGCAGCCACAGGCCCCAGACAAGACCAGGTGAAAAGTTACCTAAGGAAGCCCAACCCAAGTGCCTGACACTGAGGGATGAGCAAATAGTAACTGCTTTAAGCCACAGCATTTTAGGGGCAGTTTGTTTCACAGTACTAGATAATTATAATACCACTGCTGTGCCTTCAATTTTATCATTAGCTTTATTTTTTAAGATGAAATTGAGTAGAAAGCAGAGATTTCTTTTCTTTTCTTTTTTTTTTTTTTGTCTTTTTGAGACCGGGTCTCACTATGCAGTTCAGGCTGGCTTGAGCTCACTCTGTAGCCCAGGCTGGTCTCAAACTCGCAGTGATCCTCCTGCCTCAGCCTCCCGAGTGCTGGGATTACAGATGTGAGCCACCACGCCTGGTGAGATTTCTCAAAAATCCCTTGGCTACACATGTATAGTCTCCTGCATTAATGAACCTGTGCTAACAATGATCATCACAGCATTCATTAGGGTTCTCTTTAGTGTTACATTCTACGGATTTAGATCAATATATAGTGACATATATTCACATCTGAATAAGGTAATTTCACTGCTGTAAATATCCTATGTTCTGCTTACTCATCTTTCACACTCTCATGCTCCAGCAATCACTGATCTTTTTATTGTCTTGAGTGCCTTTTCCAGAATGCCACATAGTTGGAATCATACAGTATGTATGTAGCTTTTTGTATTGGTTTCTTTCACTTTGTAATATGTGTTTAAGTTTCCTCCAAGTTTTCTCCAGGCTTATGGCTCATTTCTTTTTGAGAGGCTCATTTCTTTTTACTGGTGAAAAACATCCATTGTCTGAATCACTGTAGTTTATCCATGCACCTAATGAAAGACATCTTGGATGCTTACAAGTTGTGGCAATTATTAATAAAGCTTCTACAAACATCTGTACGCAAGCTTTTGTGTGAACGTAAGTTTCAACTCCTTTGGGTAAGTACCAAGGTGTATGATTGCTAGATCACAGGGTAAGAACCTACTTAGTTTTGTTAAAAATCGCCAAATTGTCTTCCACAGTAGCTGTATTATTTTATATTCCCACCAGAACTGAATGAGATTTCCCCCTGCTTTGCACTGTTGCCAGTACTCGGTGAGGTCAGTTCTCTGAATTTTGGTCATTCTAAAAGGACATGTAGTGGTATCTCATTATCTCCAGTGCTTTTTTTAAAATGCTGGTTAAACCAGGTGTGGTGGTACATGCCTGTAATCCCAGCACTTGGGAGGCTGAGGCAGGAGGATTGCCACAAGTCTGAGTCCAGCCTGGGCTACACAGTGACTTCAAGGTCAGCCTGGGCTACATAGCGACATGCTGTCTCAAAAAAAAAAAAAAAAAAAAAAAAGCAGGTACCTTTGCTTGAAATGTTCCCAACTCCTTCTGCCTACTAACATGAGTTAGGGCCATCCTTTCAAGACAGCTCAAGAAGCCAAATATGGTGGCACATACCTGTAATCCCAGCAGGAGTCTGAAGCAGGAGGATTACCATGAGTTCGAGGCCAGCCAAAGCCAGCCTGAGCTACATAGCAAGAACCCTGCTTCAAAACAAAAGAAAATAGCACTCGGCAGGCTAAGGCAGAAAGATCTCTGTGAGTTTGAGACCAGCTTAGGCTATAAAGTGAGTTCAAGGCCAGCCTGAACTAGTGAAATCCTGTCTCAAAAACAAAATAAGATGGCTGGGCTGGGGATATAGCTCAGTGGTATAAGCACGTGCCTGGCAAGTGCAAAGTCCTGAGTTCAATTCCCGGCACCAAAATGAACAAAAAACAAAATCAAAATGGCTCAAGGTGGCTTTTCCTCCAACATGCAGCTTTGTTTCATCTGTTAGCCTCTTCTATCATTTTACCCAAGTACTTCATGGGTAGCTAAGCACACCACCAAATCCCTTTACTGCTGTTTCTTCTGCCTGGAGTACCAGTCTTTCCCAAGAAGAACACTATTTTTCTTCTATGAGAGAGGTGGGTCTTAGCAGAGAATGAGCAGTATTTTTCTCTGTGCTTCAGTAGTAATAATAGCAACTGGTATGTATGGAGCATTTAATATATACCAAGCAGTGTCCCTAGGCACTGTATTTGTTAACTTCCAAGTAATCCTATGAAGGATGTTTCAGTACGTGATCTCTGACAAGCTTAATATCTCTGAAACTCAATTTCTTTAACTTTAAAATGGGAATGAAATAAAGTCCCCCAGTTCTTAAGGTTAGAATTCAATGAGAAAATATTTATAAAACTTGTAAAATACTTGTAAAAGCAGTATAATGTCTGGTACATGTTTAGTGCCCAATGAGAGCTGGTAGTTACCACTACTGCTATTATTATTTCTGTATTTCTAGTATCTTCACCACCTAGCACAGAACCTAGAATAGAATAAACCTTCAATGTTTTGATTTATTTTAAGCTATTTCTAAGCAGCTGTATTCCCTACTTGATTCAGCCTAACCCATGGGAACAGGTTGTTAGTGCTATGCAGTCTTCTCATTTTCCACAGATTGCACAAGATCCTATGTTTCACAAATTCATCCCCTTGGTGACAAAACAAACATTTCTCAACTCAACTCTGCCAATCATGGCCTCTTGTGCATCCCTTAGTCAATACCTGCAAAATTAACATTCATTTTGCAATGCTTGGATATTCTATAATATCGTGGGAGAAGATGCAAAAGTTAGTAGTAATTTAGGTATGTAGTTAGAGCAGCCACTGACATACTTCTAACATGACAGTCATATCATGCTTCTGAGCCCTACAATTAGCCTATGCTCTTTTATTTTAAAATTAAATATACTTTTTTGTGCCACAGTCCAGGTTACAAAGGTCCAGCCCTTCCTCTTCTCCTGGGACAGCTATCACAATCACTCTAAGAACTTTCCCTGAAACCTATCCTTGATCCATAGA